GATCCTTCCTCCTCTCCTGAATTTTCATGGAAAACCTTCTCAGTATTTTACCAAAGTTGGATTCTAGCTCCAATTCTGACATGCAGAATTCAAGGAATTTGCTGATCCAACCCTCAGTCCCAACCTCTGCTCTTTGTTTCACTCAGCTCCGGGGTTTTAATGGATTTTCACGCTTTCCTCAGAATATTCCCAGCAGGAAACTTTGTTGGATCAGAGATGAGGTGGGAGGAGTTAAATATTGAAATTTCCCTTTCCTTTGTTTTTTCCCTCGACTTTAAACTCCGCGATTTTCCTGCGGATTTTCCCTCCTGCTTCCAGTGGTGCCAACAAGCAGAGATTTGTGTTTCCAAAGATTTGCAGAATTCGACCTTTTCCAGGGATTTTGGAAAGTTTTGGCAGATAAAAATCCTCACTTCATTCGTCCCTGGTTCAATCCATCCTTCGACCTTTCCCAAGGAAACCCTAAATTCCAACCCGGCTTTTTAATTCCCAAAAATCCCTTTTATTTTTATGGAATTTTTAACCACGGCATCCCTGGGCTCCCTCCTGAGTTGGGTTTGTGCCAACTTCATTATCCCAGAACCAAAAGCTTCTCCCAATTAATTTATTCCCATTCCGGAGGCAGCTCCGGCGGCAGATGGAGAGGTGGTGACACCAGGATTTGATGATTGAGTGACAAAGGGTGACAATTCCATGGAGAGCGACAGGAAAAGTTGTGAGAAATGCCAGGGAATGGTGAGAAAAAGCAGGGAATGGTGGGAAATAGCAAGGAAGGGTGTTGCCCTCCTCGGAAAATGAATAAATTCGGAATTTCTTCGCATTCCTGTGGAAAATATCCTCAAGGGCTGTCACAATTCCTGAGAAAACAAGTGGGAATGGGATCAACAAACCCTGCCAGGAATGGTGGGACACACCTGGAGCATCAGCTTTGGGTCACCAGCTGGGTTTTTGGGAATGAACTTCCGTGGAAGTGTCCAAGGCCAGGCCAGTTCCCACTGGGATCAATCGGTTCCCACTGGGATCAATCAGTTCCCACTGGGATCAATCAGTTCCCACTGGGATAAATCAGTTGGTACCTGCTAGGATCAGTCGGTTCCTGCTGGGATAAATCAATCCCCACTGGGATCAGTCAGTTCCCACTGGGATCAGTTGGTTCCTGCTGGGATAAATCTGTTCCCACTGGGATAAATCGGTTCCCACTGGGATAAATCAGACCCCACTGGGATCACTCTATCCCCGGTAAAATAATGCCAGGCCCACTGGGATCACTCAGTTCCCACTGGGATCACTCAGTCCACACTGGGATCACTCAGTTCCCTCTGGGATCAGTCATTCCCACTGGGATCACTCAGTTCCCCCTGGGATCATCCTCCTGCCTGATGCCCTTGGCAGGAGGGAGAGCCAGGTCTGGGATCCCAGGATGGGATCAGGATCTGCTGTTCCTGTGTCCGATGGTTCCTCTCACACAGGAGAGGAATCCCAAGTGTCCCAGCTCCCCCGAGTGGATTTTCCCATGGGAACAGACGTCCCTGGCACAGACGAGCTGTGGGTTGTGTCCAGCAGGGAAGGGAATTCCAGCCAAGCCCTCTCCCAGCTCCGTGTGTTCAGAGAAACACGGAATTTTCCTCTCTCTGAGTGTTGCATCCATCATTTTATTCACAAAACCGTGGAACATCCCAAGTGGGACGGGACCCCCGGGGACCCCAAAAATCCCACAGCTCATCCAAACATTCCCATTCTCGGAGAGGCTCAGGCTGCTCCAAGCCCGGGTGCAGAATCCGGCAGCAGGAGCGGAGGTGGGAGCTGGGGAGCTTTTCCAGAGGCTCCAGATTCATCCCAGGGCTGTTTTCCCACCTGATTAACCCTTGGCTGATCCCAGGGCCAGATGCCACCAGGGTGGGGTGGCCTGGGGACACTCCGGGGACAGGCACAGCCGGTGTCCCCCCGTGCTACCAGCTCCGTGGGTTTTCTGGGAGCAGCGTGGGATGGATGGCCCTGGAAAGGAGGTGACAACGGCGCAGTGTCACCTGCACCTGTCCTGATCTGCTGGGGGGTTGGGATGGGATTTGCTGGGATGGGATTTTCTGGGATGGGATTTGCTGGGTTGGGATTTTCTGGGATGGGATTTGCTGGGATGGGATTTGCTCCTCCATTGGGAACAGGACAAGGGGACTGGAGTGTCCCTGAGTCACCACCCCACAGATTCTTTGGGATTTTCTGTTGAGATTCCTAGAAAAATGGTGCTGGAGCAGCCCCAGTGGCCCCCAGCTTTTTTACAGCTTGTATATGGGTTCTGTTGATTTACTGTTTTAAAGATGAGTTGTTTAAAGGTAAAACAACAGGTTTTCATTATTTATTTCTTAAACCATGACACCAACCCAAGGGGATTTTCTGCCGGTGGCAAAGCTGCTCCGTGCTCCTCAATCAGCTTTAATGAAGCAATAAACGGAGCTGCCGGAATGTTCTCCGGGAACAGCAATTCCCAAAGTTTTACTGTTCCTCCTGCAGCCGTAAATTGGGATAAATCAGGATAAACTGGGATAAAAATCCAACTGCTGCTGGGAGCATCCTGCTGGTCCTAACGAGCTGATTAAATCAAATCCCTCACTGTTTAATTTTGTCGAATTCCAAGGCCAGATTCCCTTTGCTTCCCATTTCCTGCTCTGGAGCTGGGATTGTTTTCCAGGAGCAGAGGTGTAGGGAAGGGATTTTTCCCATTGTTATCCCAGAAGATCTCATTTTAAGAAATGGGAATAAATGAATTTCAGCCCATCCTCAGAGTGGTTTGTGCACTCAGAGTGGACCCCAGGGGACATTCCAGCTGCTCCTGTTTGTAGGGATTTTGGGAATTCTGACAGTGAGATAACTTTGGGCCAAATCCCCTGCAGGGGGATCCCTGTCCTGGGTGGTGCCAGAATGGGATCTCCTGGGAATTTCTGCAGGAGGAGAAGCTGTCCTCATGGGTTGTTATTTCAGATCCTGCAGGGAGAAAAGAGAGAATTCCATGGAATTCTGAGGAGCAGAGCAGGGCACAGCCTGGTCCTGCTGGTGAGGGACCAACCTCAACCACCCCTTCCCCTCTCCGTGCCTCCCTTTGGGATGTAGGGATGAGCCTGACGGGTTTTTCCTGCTTTTTGGGCTGCTGTCATATCCTTTCTATGCGAGAAAAAGCAGGAAAAATGCTGGTTTTTTGGGAAAAGCTTCTCCCCGGCTGTTTCCCTGACTCCAGCACCCCCAGCTCAGAATGTCCCTGATTCCTGTGGCAGCTCCAGCCCCTCTGTGCCGGGAGAATTCCCCATTCCCGGCAGGAACAGCCGGGACAATGCGGGTCTGTGTTCTCCAGGAGCCACCTACATGCGCAGGAATTGTTCCCGTGGATTGTTCCCAGGGATTGTTCCCTCTGCCCACATCTGCTCCGGACAAAGGGGCCCTGGAGGAGCCTGGAGGAGCCTGGAGGAGCCTGGCATTTTCCAGGGGATGAATTCCCTGTGTGGTTTTTCTTGCTCCCAGCCAGTGCTGCTCCGTGCTATCCTACAGATCATCCTGGATCATCCAGCCAGGGAATTCCTGCAGGATTCTGCCCATGGGTTCAGGCCAGAGATTCCGTGCTGCTTTTACAGCTCAGGAATTTTCTGGAATTTTGTTTCTTCCTGATATTCCTGGATTTTTGCAGTGGGGCCTACAGGGATTTGTAGGGAGGAGCTGCCCTTGGATCCCTGGAAGTGCCCAATGCCAGGCTGGAGCCACCTGGGACAGGGGAAGGTGCCCCTGCACTGGGGATGAGCTTTAAATTCCTTTCCCATCCCAAACCATTCCAGGATCCTGTGATTTCCCATCAGAGCTTGGGCTCAGCCCTTTTATATTCCCGTATTTACAAATATCCCCCAGGAATCTGTGCCAGGAACTTCCTCCTTCCCTCTCAGCTATTCCGCACCCCAAAATCCAAGGAAAACAAGAAATTCCTCACTTTTCAGGCCCAAACTGTTCCTGTTTGGACCCTTTTTAACCCCCACTGCCTCCTTCCCCTAAAATATCCCTGTTTGAAATGGATTCAGAGCTTTGTGTTGTCCTTTTGGGATCTGCATTTGTTATCTGGGTGGAAAATGGGATCCCGGGAGCTTGGATGGGATCTTGTCGCTGTTGAGTAAGAAACGACACAGACTCACTGGAAGGATGGTTTGGACTTTACTTCAGGTTCCCCTTTTTTTTATACATTTTATACATTCTTCCCATACAGATATTGACCTGATCGGTCAACTAATCAATACATTTCACCTGATTGGCTAATTAACAAAATGCCTTTTTTCTTATAAACAACTTTTGAGAAAAACAGGAAAACAGAGAGCAGGAAAACAACACCTGCAGGTTTTTTTGTCATAACAAGCTATTGTTATTTATCTTCAACTCCTTAAAGCCTCACAAGCCAATTTTGGGAAAACTTGTCTGGTTTTCTCACTCTCTGGCCAGGCTGTCACATCCACAGGGTCTGGAGCAGCGAGGGGAACACCTGCAGCCTCGTTGGGAATGAGATAGTTTGAACACCAGTTGGGAAAAATCCCAGTCCTAGAATTCTGCTGGATCAATGCCAGGATTTTTGGGACAACAGCTCCAGACCCCTGAGCTCATCCCGATGCCCTGAGGGGTTGGATATTCCTCAGTATTTTTAATGCATAAAATACAATTATTATTAATTTTTTCAGCAAATCCACATTTTTATTCAATCCTGTGGGCTCCATTTGGATCCTGCTGCTCCCAGGAATTTCCTCTTGGTCCCTGGGCACTGGCTTCAGGACTGGAGCCCAAACAACCCCATAAATCCTTCCAGCAGGACAATCCTGGGCTCGGGAGAGCTGTTCCCACGTGTTCCCCAAATCCTGGCCACCATTCCTGGCCCCATTCCCACCATTTTTTGGGGGAAATGCTGCGTTCCTCAAGTTTCCAAAGGGAAAATGCCAGGATTGGCTCAGTGATGTGACTCGGGGGTTGTTTTTTTTTTCCAGCTGAGGATCCCTCTGCATGTGCCACCACCCCAGGGGACACCCCAAAGTCACCCCAAGGGACACCCCAAGGTCTTGAGGCCACACAGGGAAGCTTCAAGATGATCCTGAGGAGAGCCCAGGTCACCTGTGCCAGAATTGCCTTTGCCCTCTGCCTCCAGCACCTCATCAGCGCCATCGAGGTCCCCCTGGACCGTAAGTTTGGGATTTATCCTCTCCAGTTCCTTCCCAAAAATTCCTCACTGGGATGGGAAGGAGGTGGGATGAAGGTGGGAACATCCCAGGTGGATTTTCTCCTCCACAGCTGAGTTTTCTCCTCCACTGTTGTGTTTTCTCCTCCACATTTAGGTGTTCTTTTCCAAATTTGGGTTTTCTCCTCCACAGTTGAGTTTTCTCCTTGACAATTGAATTTTCTCCTCCACATTTAGATTTTTCTCCTCCACATTTGGGTTTTCTTCTCCAAGTTTGGGGTTTCCCCTCCACAGCTGGGTTTTCCTCTCCACAGTTGGCTTTTCTCCTCCACAATTGGGTTTTCTCCTCCACATTTCGAAGGAAAAGGGGTTTTGTGCGGGGTTTCCGAGGCCTGCAAAAACTGGATTTGTTTCTGGCTGTGCTGGGAACAGGGTTGGAACAGGTTGAATTAACCTCCTTTCTTTTTCCCTCTATGCTTTCCCTTTGGGAATAACAGCAAATATCCAGAGTGAATGTAAGTGTTCCCTTCCCCAAAGTGCATGAAGGGTCCCTGAGCAGGGGCTGGTGGTGGCAGTGGTGGTGCAAGGGGGACGTGGCCCCTTCTGACCCACTTTTCCTGCATGTCCAGGTGGGGAAAGGCATAGAAAGGCTGGAGCAACTTGGGAAGAGCTCCCAGCTCTCTGAGCTGTCCTCAGATCAGGGGCCAGGCTGTGTTTGCCATGGAAAAGTTGTTCCTGCAGGGTTTGAGTTCGGAGAAGGGCAGGAATTCCCTCCTGGCACCTGTTCCAGGCTCAACCTCACATCCTGATGGGTTGGGAGCATCTCTGGATCTCAGAGGATGAAGAAACAGCCTTGGATCTTCACCCCAGGAGATAGGATCTGCAGTTCGGAGATCAGGGCCGGGTGCTATCCCAGCCATGGGGTTCCTGTGTCCTTTTTTCCATCCCTGCCCTCCTAAATTCCAGGTCTGAGCTCCTTTGGGCTCATCCTGGGGGGTTGGAATCTCTTCCTTGCACCAGGAATTTCTCAGGACCCCTGACCCAGCCCCTTCTGAGCTGCAGATCCAGGATGAATTCCCACCGGATTCACCCTGTGGGAACAGGAGGCTGGAACTGGGACATTCCCCAATGAGACCAAAATACAGAGAGGGAATTGAGGATTTTTGGTCCCTAAAGGGAGTCTGGACTCTGTGATGATCCGTGAGGTGATGAATTGAGGGAATTCACAGGAATTTCCTCAGGATTCAACCTCCAAATCACACACCCAGCCAAGGGAAGGAGCTGGGATCCCAGCAGGAATTGCTACGGGGTGGCATTGAGGGATCTCCCCCGGTTCTTCACGGATTTCCCATTCCTCGCAGTGCCGCAGCCCCCCACGATCACCAAGCAATCCATCAAGGATTACATCGTGGATCCCAGGGATAACATCTTCATCGAATGCGAAGCCAAAGGCAACCCCGTTCCCATGTGAGTGCATTCCCAGTGCTCATCCCACTGTCCCTTGGTGCTCCAGAGCCGCTCCCACCCTCCCTGCCCAGCCCATCCTGCTGCTGGCCCAACACAGGTAGGGACCTCTGTGGGGACATGGTTCCTAACCCAGCTTTTCCTTGGCATTCCAGCTTCTCTTGGACGCGGAATGGGAAGTTCTTCAACGTGGCCAAGGATCCCAAGGTGTCCATGAGGAGGAGATCGGGGACTTTGGTCATTGACTTCCACAGCGGGGGCCGGCCCGACGACTACGAGGGCGAGTACCAGTGCTTCGCCAGGAACGACTACGGGACAGCCCTTTCCAGCAAAATCCACCTCCAGGTTTCCAGTGAGTGGTTCCTGGAAAGAGCAGGGCCACGGGAGGTTTGGGGGGAATATTCAGTGCTCAAACAGATCCAGGTGTGTCCAGGAGACAGGGAAGGAATGAGGTTGTGGTTGGGAATTGCTCAGGGTGGAAGGGATGGATTTGAGGGTGTGGAATTGAGGATATGAGTTTAAGGGTATGGATTTCAGGGATGGATTTGAGGGTGTGGAACTGAGGATACGAATTTAAAGGATAGATTTCAGGGATGGATTTGAGGGTGTAGAATTGAGGATATGGATTTAAGGGATGGATTTGAATATGGACTTGAAGACATGGATTTAAGGGAATGGAATTGAAGGGATGGAATTGAGGATACGAATTCAAGGGTGTGGATTCCAGGGACGGATTTGGAGGGTATGAATCTGGGGGGGTTTGGATTTTGGGGTATGGATTTGAGGGATGAATTTGGGGGTATGGATTTCAGGGGATGAATTCCAGGGAGTTTTGCACACACCCAGATGAATTTTGCTCTAAAATGAGGCTGGATCCAGCGGGAATCACTCCTGAGGAATCCTTTCCTCCTTTCCTCACTTTCCTTTGCTTCCCATGGCAGAATCTCCGCTGTGGCCCAAGGAGAAGGTGGATGTCATCGAGGTGGATGAGGGTGCCCCGCTGAGCCTGCAGTGCAATCCCCCACCTGGCCTCCCTGAGCCCGTCATCTTCTGGATGAGCAGCTGTGAGTCGGGAGCGCCTTTCCCACCGGGAACTCTGGGAATGGCGGCTCCATCACCTGTGGGTTTTAAAATAACTGTGGGTGGGGTTGTTGCTGATAGTTTGAGGTTGGTTCTGTCAGCCTGGAGTTGTTTCTGTTAGTTTAGGGTTGGGCCTGATAGTTTAGGGTTGTTTCTGCTAGTTTAGGGTAATTTCTATTAGTTTAGGGTAATTTCTGTTAGTTTAGGGCACTTTCTGCTACTTTAGGGCTGGTCCTGGTAGTTTAGGGCAATTTCTGCTTGATTAGGGTTGTTTCTGCTAGTTTAGGATTGTGGCTGCTAGCTTAGGGTCATTGCTGGTAATTAGGGTAATTACTGCTGATTTGGGACACTTTCTGCTAGTTTAGGCTAGTTTTTTGTAGTTTAGGGTTGTTACTGGTAGTTTAGGGGTTTTTTCTGCTAACTTAGGACATTTTCTGCTAGGTTAGGGTCATGTCCGCTAGCTTAGGGTCATTGCTGGCAGTTTAGAGTAATTGCTGCTAATTAAGGGCACTTTCTGCTAATTTAGGGTCATTACTGGTAATTTAGGGGTTTTTCTGCTGACTTAGGGCACTTTCTGCTAGTTTAGGGTCGTTACTGGTAATTTAGGGTTTTTTCTGCTAACTTAGGGCACTTTCTGCTAGTTTAGGGCCATAACTACTAATTTAGGGCATTTCCTGCTAATTTAGGGCAGCTTCTGTTAGTTTAGAACCCTTCCTCCTACTTCAGGCTCACCACCCCTACTCCGCACCTCATCCACCCCACCCCTCCGCCATTCCCGTTCTCCTTAAATCCCGCCTGGCCCTGAATTCCCGCCGTTTTCCCCCAGCCATGGAGCCCATCCCGCAGGACAAGCGCGTGTCCCAGGGCCACAACGGGGACCTTTACTTCTCCAACGTGCTGGCGCAGGACGCGCTGACCGACTACAGCTGCAACGCCCGCTTCCACTTCACCCACACCATCCAGCAGAAGAACCCCTACACCCTCAAGGTCAAAACCAGTAAGTGGCTCACAGGGGAACCAGTTTGGGCTCCATCCCAAAGGGTTTTCCAACCAGGAATCCAGTAAGGGAAGAGTGGCTCCCGTGGTTTGGTTTGGTTTGGGTGGGGTAAGGACGGGTTTGGGTGGTTTTGGGGTGGGTGGGGAGGGAGGGGTTGTATCTTCCTGGTTTTTAGGGTTCCAGAGGTGGTTTGGTGTAGGAATTGCCAGTTCCGTGGTTTTGGGGTAAAACTGGGGGTGTTTGACAGATGAGGCGTTCCCAATGTCTCCAGGGAAACGCAGGAATTGCCAATTCTGTGTGTTTGGGGTAAAACAGGGAATGTTCTGACAGGGATGTGGCATTCCCACTGTCTCCAGGGAAGTGTAAAATATCCAGAGGTAACTTGAAGCAGGAATCACCAAATCCCGATGCTGGGATAAACTGGGAGTGTTTCAGCACAGCTGGGGCATTCCCACCATCTCCAGGAAAATGCAGGAATCACCAATTCCATGTGTTTGGGGTAAACTGGAGAGTGTTTCACGAATGGGACATTCCCACATTCCCACCATCTCCAGGGAAATGGGATCTTTGGTGCAGGAATCACCAATTCCATGTGTTTGGAATAAAACAGGGAGTGTTTCAGCACATATGGAACATTCCCATCATCTCCAGGGAAATGCAGGGATCACCAGTTCCATGTGTTTGGGATAAACTGCAGAGTTTTGCCACATCTGGAGCATTCCTAATGTCTCCAGGGAAAATGTAAAATATCCAGAGGTGATTTGGGGCAGGAATTACCAATTCTGTGTGTTTGGGATGAAGTGGAGAGCGTTTCCATATCATCAGGGAAATTCATCTCCAGGGAAATATAAAATATCCAGAGGTAACTTGGAGCAGGAATCACCAATTCCACGTCTTTGGGATAAAACTGGGGGTGCTTCCACTTTCTCACCACATTCAGGGAAATGTGAAATGTCCAGGGATCATTCCCTGCTCTGGGAAGGTGGAGTTGGCCGTGGCTTGCTCCAGGGGATTGGATGTGGAAAAACAAGTGTGGAATGTGGCTGTGGATATTCCGGGGCTTCCTTTGCTCTGGGAAGTGCCTCCAGGAATGTGGGAGCCTCTGGAATCCTGTGGGACACTCGGGATGAGCGTTCCCAGGTGTCCCCATCGAGCATTGATGAGGGGACACCAGGGGCTCACTCCGGGCCCTTCCAGAGCACATTTTCCTCCAGCAATGATTCCTCAGGAATTCCTGAATGAAAAGGAATTCCTGGTGCACTGGGGTGACTCTGGAAGAGGGAATGGGGCCAATTTGAGGGGCATGAGGACCCTGAGCTGTCACAGGGGCTCGAGGTGACAAAATCCTCCATGAACATCAACCATCAGAGGGCAGGAGCTCCCACCATTCCCAGCATTCCCAGAAAGATCCAACTGGGAGGTGCTGGCGGATTTTTGGGAAGCACCAGGCACTCCTGAATGCTGGTGGGAGGAATTTAATTTGATTTCCCAGCAGCTTGAATGAATAGGAATGTGATGAGAGGGACCCGGGAGTGACGAGTTTTCCACCTCGGTGTAGCAGCTCCTCCTCGGTGCAAAGCTGGAGTAGGGAATCAGGGATTTAAATCATTCCAAAGGGTTCTTTTCCGGTGCTGGGAATGTGGGTAGCTCGTTCATTCCGGATATAATTTGTAAATTCCGGATATTATTTGTGAGTTCCAAATATTTGCTTGTTTGAAGAGCTGGGAAAAGAAAGTCCCAGTGTTTATTTTTGGGAAAAATCCAGGCAAATAAAGATCTGTGGGGTTTGGAGCTTCCAAGGGCTCCATCCTGATGATTTATCCAGCTCTGGACGTGACTTGAATGAAATCCTGGTGGATTTTCACGGATTTGAGCTCCCCTCAGGTGTCCCCACATCCCTTCACTCCCAGACCTTGGAAAATCAAATCCTTCTCTTCCAGTTTTCCTTGGGAAACAGCTGCTGTAGGATCAGAGGCAAATTCCACCCAGGAACCTCCCAGATTCCTTAAAAATTTTGGAACTGAGGCTTTAATTTCCCATACAAAAAATTCTTTATCCATAAATTGTTGGAAGGGGATGAGGTTGGATTTGTCCCAAACTCTTGGATCTTCTCAGCCTTAATCCCTGAGTTAGGCTCCTTCAAAAAGTCTTCCCCAGCTCCTGAAAAAACATGGAATGGGATGTAGGAGGAAAATGGGAAGGTTGCAGGGAGGGATCACCTTAAAGGGATTTTACCGCAAGTTGTGCTCTTAAAAAAAAAATTAAAAAAAATTATTATTATTATTGTTGTTATTACAGCAGGTTGTGCTTTTAAAACATAATAATAATAATAATTATTATTATTATTATTCTTTCATCTCCTCCTTGCCTTCCTACATCATTGTCCAGCTGTGTCCATCTCATGGGAAAAAGTAGCTGGAATACAGAATTTTTATAGTCAAAAAACAGAGAAAAAAAACCATTTTCCCCTCCAAATTGCTCAAATTCTTGGGTTTTCCCAAAGACTCTGGAGAGTAAAACATTCCAAGGAAAAATTAGCACTACAATTCCCACACTTTTAGCTCTTCCCACCCCTTGGAGAGGGAAACCAGCCCCTTTTCCTCCTGTTCCTCCTGTGTTTGTCCTGGAAGGCACCGCGCTCCGAATGCTTTTGGATCCCTGCTCCCGCCTGTCCCATCCCTGCTGATTTATGGGAATTCTCGTGTTCTCCACCCTCTCCCATCCTTGCTGATTTCTGGGAATTCTTGTGTTCTCCACCCTGTCCTGTCCTTGCTGTTTTTTGGGAATTCCCCATGTCTCCATCCTGGCTGTTTTTTGGGATGTCACCACATCCCCCATCCTTGCCGGTTTTGGGAATTCCCCATGTCCCCATCCTGGCTGGTTTTTTGGGAATTCCTCATGTCCCCCATCCTGGCTGTATTTTAGGGATTCCCGTGTCCCTCAGCCTGGCTTTCTTTTTGGGATGTCCCCATGTCCCCCATCTTGGCTGTTTTTTGGGAATTCCCCATGTCCCCTGTCCTGGCTTTTTTTTGGGGATGTCCCCGTGTGCCCATCCTGGCTGTTTTTTGGGAATTTCCTGTGTCCCTCACCCTGTCTGTGTTTTGGGATGTCCCTGTGTCCCCCATCCTGCCTGTTGTTTGGGAAGTCCCCATGTCCCCTGTTCTTTCTGTTTTTTGGGAATTCCTGTGTCCCCTTCCTGGCTGTTTTTTGGGAATTCCCGTGTCCCCTTCCCATGCTGCCCCCGCCTCCCTGGCGCTGCTCATGGTGTTTTGTTCAATTGCAGAGAAGTCCCATAACGAAACGTCTTTAGGAAATTCCCCCGCCATGTACCGCGGTGAGTCCACGCTGGCTTTGGGAGTCCCGGCTTAACCCAGTCCCGCCTAACCCCACTGACCCCATTCCCTGTCTGTGTCCCCTTTGCTGTCGCCATGTCCCCATCATGGCCTCAGCTTTGCCAAAATTTATTGGCATAAATCCATCCAAGCGACCACAAAACCCCACAAAGTTCCCCATTTCTGCTGAGCGGGGTTTAAGTGAGTTAAGCCCAGCTTGGGAGGTTTGGGGTTTATAGGGTCTGCCCCACGTGGCTGAGCTGAGTTCGGTCCCTCCTGTCCTGTCCTGGGCAAAGCTCAGGATTTAGACATCAGATCCTCATCCCACTTTTCTGTGTCTCCAGAAGAACATTTCCAGCAGGGGCATTTCTGGGATTTCCAGCTGAACTCAGGCAAGGATAAAAAGAGGGAAGAAAAAGAGGAATATTTGGGTTTTCCTGAAATCTGGGTGATTGCTGTGCAGAGAGGTTGGACATGAGCTGGATGCTTCCACAGGTTCATGCTCTTTGTTGGGACAGAAAACTCTCTCTGGATTCTGTGCCTGGTGGGAGAATCCCATCCTAAAATCCTAAATGATGCTTCAGGTACAAAAACGCCAGGATGGCTGCCCTAGGAATGGGCTGGAATTGTCAGGGTTGTGCTGGGATAACAAGGGCAGCCGTGAGGGATTTTAGGGAGTGGGAAATGGGGCAGGTTTGGGAATCCTGGGAATGTCACCACCTCTCCAAATCCACCACAGATTCCAACTGCTCCCAGATCCGAAGCCGTCTCGGACAGGATTCCCTTCCTGCCCTTCCTGCTGCTTTTGGGGCGGGGGTTGTGTGGGGTCAGCTCTGGGAATGTCCCTTGCTGTCCCCACCGTGTCCTGGAGTGAAATCCCTGCGGAGCCAGAGCTTCCTCAGGGCCTGGCACAGCCCAGGGCACAATTCCCATCCCGCGGGGACTTTTGGGGACAAGGAGGGCGTTGCCAACTGGGAGAACCAGAGAAGAGCGGGATGTGCCAGGCCAGGCCATGGCCAAGGGAATTGGGATCTTGGCATCGGGAGCAGGAGGGTTTGGAGGGAGCTGAGGAGCTGGGAAAGGCTCAGCAGTGGAATCGGCCTGGGAAGAAGTGCTGGAATGGGCTGGACTATCTGGGAATATTTGGAAAAATGGCTGGGAAAAGGGTTCAGCAGCAAAATCAGCTTTGGTGGGAGCCCTCACCCAGAAGGGAGAGAACAAGAGATGGGACAGGGAGAAAGAGAATTCCAGTGGAGAGTTTTCCTGGGCTTCTGTATTTCCCATTGTATATCTTTGTTCAGGGAAAAGAGATCTTAAGTGTCACTCCATCAGGAAAATGGGATTCTATCCACACAATTCCATTCTGTCCCTCATTTCATGAGTGCACAGGAGAAATATCCTGCTCTTCGTGTTGTAGCATTCCCTGGAAAACTTCCTGGCTCCAGAGGATACAGATCCCCCTCTCCCACCCCTGTGCAGACCTGGACTCCAACCCAGGCCGTAATTAACTCAATAATTAAAGAGCTGAGGGTAACAATTCTTCCCCTCAGTCCTTTCCCTTGTGGCTGCCCCAGCATTCCTCCCTGGAATGACTGGCTGGGAATTCTGGAGCTTTGGGATGTGGAGAGGGACATGAATCCCAAGGATCTGAGGGGCTGGGGGGATTTGGAGCTCCTGGCTGTTCTTCCTTGGGGTGCTGATCCCCACGATCAGCTCCAGAGGCAGCTGGAAAAGGGGTCTGAAAGTCTGGGAATCCCATTGCCAGGACATTCCCAAGCTTGGGAATGGGGGATCTGCTGCTGGGGACATGGAGCATGGGAGATTTGTGGGACACTTGTCCCAGATTCCTCTCCAGGGCCGGGATAACCACAGGAAGTGTCACCCACCCCTTGTCCCCAGGACTTGGAGTGATGATTCCGAGAATTCTGTGGGCAGTTATCAGGGAAAAATGATCCAAAAGGATAAATGGAATATTTCATTAGCAGAATTTCCAATTTTTTTCCCCTTTTAATGGGATTAAAACCTTGGTTAGTCCCTTTTCCTCTCTTTTCTTTTTTTTTTTTTTTTTTTTTTTTTTTTTTCATGCCGATTCCAACTGCTCCCAGATCCGGAGCCATCCCAGACAGGATTCCCTTCCTGCCCTTCCTGCTGCTTTTGGGGCGGGGGTTGTGTGGGGTCAGCTCTGGGAATGTCCCTTGCTGTCCCCACCGTGTCCTGGAGTGAAATCCCTGCGGAGCCAGAGCTTCCTCAGGGCCTGGCACAGCCCAGGGCACAATTCCCATCCCGCGGGGACTTTTGGGGACAAGGAGGGCGTTGCCAACTGGGAGAACCAGAGAAGAGCGGGATGTGCCAGGCCAGGCCATGGCCAAGGGAATTGGGATCTTGGCATCGGGAGCAGGAGGGTTTGGAGGGAGCTGAGGAGCTGGGAAAGGCTCAGCAGTGGAATCGGCCTGGGAAGAAGTGCTGGAATGGGCTGGACTATCTGGGAATATTTGGAAAAATGGCTGGGAAAAGGGTTCAGCAGCAAAATCAGCTTTGGTGGGAGCCCTCACCCAGAAGGGAGAGAACAAGAGATGGGACAGGGAGAAAGAGAATTCCAGTGGAGAGTTTTCCTGGGCTTCTGGATTTCCCATTGTATATCTTTGTTCAGGGAAAAGAGATCTTAAGTGTCACTCCATCAGGAAAATGGGATTCTATCCACACAATTCCATTCTGTCCCTCATTTCATGAGTGCACAGGAGAAATATCCTGCTCTTCGTGTTGTAGCATTCCCTGGAAAACTTCCTGGCTCCAGAGGATACAGATCCCCCTCTCCCACCCCTGTGCAGACCTGGACTCCAACCCAGGCCGTAATTAACTCAATAATTAAAGAGCTGAGGGTAACAATTCTTCCCCTCAGTCCTTTCCCTTGTGGCTGCCCCAGCATTCCTCCCTGGAATGACTGGCTGGGAATTCTGGAGCTTTGGGATGTGGAGAGGGACATGAATCCCAAGGATCTGAGGGGCTGGGGGGATTTGGAGCTCTTGGGCGTTCTTCCTTGGCGTGCTGATCCCCACGATCAGCTCCAGAGGCAGCTGGAAAAGGGGTCTGAAAGTCTGGGAATCCCATTGCCAGGACATTCCCAAGCTTGGGAATGGGGGATCTGCTGCTGGGGACATGGAGCATGGGAGATTTGTGGGACACTTGTCCCAGATTCCTCTCCAGGGCCGGGATAACCACAGGAAGTGTCACCCACCCCTTGTCCCCAGGACTTGGAGTGATGATTCCGAGAATTCTGTGGGCAGTTATCAGGGAAAAATGATCCAAAAGGATAAATGGAATATTTCATTAGCAGAATTTCCAATTTTTTCCCCCTTTTAATGGGATTAAAACCTTGGTTTGTCCCTTTTCCTCTTTTTTTTTTTTTTTTTTTTTTTTTTTGGCAAACCTGGGGCTGTTTGAGCCTGGCTGTGCCGGGGCTGAGCAGCTGGGATGTGTTGGGATGAGCACATCCTTGGAAAACAGAGCTGATGGAGGAATTTTAGATGGGAAAGGGGCAGCTGGCAGCTCTGGGATGCGAATCACATGTTTTTGGGATCTCTGGATCCCAGTTCACAGCAAAGTTTGGGAGCAGAGTCAATTTTAAGCCGAAATAAACAGACCCAGGATTTGTTTTTCCAGCTTGGATCCATCCAGAGGGATGAGGGAAACCTGGACACTTCCAGCTGGAACTTCCACATGCTCAGAGCCTCTGGTTCTGAGGGAATTTCTGGCTGCTCCCTGTTATAAACAGCAAAATATTCATTATTTATTAATTTTTATTTATTATTTATTAATTATTATTTATTAACGGTGCTGTGCTGAGGCAAAAATCAGGGGTTTTTTTCGGTGCTGTCCTTAGGTTCATTAAAGCCAAGAGGGTACTAATTAATCTCCCTGATTTTTAATTGCCATCATTAATACAGGCTTGTAAAATCCGGCTTGCTCCGCTTAACGCTTCCAGTTATCCCACAGGATCCGGAGTGGGAATAAATCCTGATCAAAGCCAATCTTGGCTGATAAAATAATTAATTCCCATTTTCTATTTGGTGGGAGAAGCTCCCGGTTGTGGCGGAGGTTTGGGTGCTCTGCCCTGGGATGGGCCAAGCTGGTTTCACTGGGAATGAGATTAATCAGGAGCAGGGATGCAGACAGACCCGGAGAAGTTGGCTTTTTGGGATAAAGTTGGGATTTTCCTGCCCTGGTAATCCATTAATCCATAATTGACTAACTGGGAGCGCGTGCGGAGCCCGTGGGAGTGGCGGGATGTGGGCGTGGAGCCAATTCCAAACATTCCATGGATGAATCCTGGGGTTGGGTTTTCCTTCCCTAAGGTGGGAATTCCAGGAAGAGCCCCCATCCTCAGTCCCCTCCTCCTTCCCCTGCCGCAGCTCTGGAAGTTTCCCAAAATTCCCCAAATCCTCCCATCTCATTGAGCTAAGGAAATCTTGGGGCACCGGGATGTCTCGCCTCATGGATCACTCCAGGATTTTTTGTGCCCCTGTTCCCATCCCATCCCTCTCCCAATCCCATAACTTCCATCCCTGCTACTGCTGCTTTCCCGCCATCTCATCCTGTCTTGTCCTCACTGATCCAGATCTAGGTCAATCATTCCACTCCTTAATGGAATTTTTTTCCCATGAATAATTAATTTTTTCCCCCTGCACAGAGGCCTTCACTGTGTGTGGATCCGTAGGGAATTGTCTTATGTCTTCCCTTTGTTTTTTTTTCCCATTAAACTTCCCTGTCCAGCCCTAAATGGGTCATTTTGGCGGCTGAGCTGTCCCTTTCCAAGGGGAACCGTCCTTCCAGGCCTCCAGGAAAGCTGGAAAACCTCTTTGGTGCTGCTGGAGCCCTGGGAATGCTCTCTATCCCGGAGAATTCTGTGGAAAAGCAGCTCTGGGTCTGAATAAACCCTTTCCATACCCGCTTTTCCTGCTGTCCTTCGTTATATGTTACATCCATCAACATTTCCCAATTCCATCTGATTCCAGCCCATTTTCCGGAGGCAGGGAGGGCAGGAAAAGCAGGAACTGATGGAATGGGAACCATCCCCAGTGCTCAGTCCCCTCTGCTGCTCCTTCTCTCCCCTGCCTGCCAAACTTCCTCTCTCTCCCCTTCTTTTTTTCCAATCCCAAATTCATTTGGAGCCCTCCTTCCCTTTCCAGGCACATTCCCAGGTGAGTTCAGAATCCCGGGATGGCTGGGGAGGTGACACCTTCCGTGAATTCCCAGAGACCTTTAAAAGACCCATGTTCTGTTTTCTTTGGTTTTTTGGTTTTGTTTTTTTTTTTCTTTGTTTGGTTTTTGGTTTTTTTTTTTTTTGTTGTTTTGTTTTTGTTTTGTTTTGTTTTGTTTTTACTTCTCTCCCACTGATTCCAGCCCGAGGGATCTCAGAAACCACTCCAAGCTTCATGTATCCCTACGGAACTTCCAGCAGCCAGATGGTGCTCCGAGGGGTGGATCTCCTGCTGGAATGCATCGCCTCCGGAGTGTATGTACCACGGAGAGGGTGATTCCCAGCAATTCCCAGTGGAATCAGTGCAAGGAATCACCCCTGGACTGGGAAAAAGGGATCATTCCCTCCTTTTCAGTTGTTAACGATGCTCCCATAACCTGCTCGATGAGCAAACGGAAATGCTGAGGTTTCCAGGTGTCTTCAGATCCTTGTCCAAGGATAATTCCCCACTGGTTTGCCCTAAAATTTGGCAATTTCCCAGGAGCTCCTCACCACACTGTGGGGAGGACATTTGTGCCCCCAGAAATGTCCTGGGCTCTTGGACAGCCCACACCATCAGGCCATGGTCAGGGATGGGCTTTGAGGTCCCTTCCACCCCAAACCATTCCAGAATTCCATGAGCCTGCATCCCAGGAGCATGAGGAGAACATCGTTCCTGACCAGCTGGGAATGCTCAGGGCTGTGGTTTAGGGGCAGCAGTGGGAAGGAGGATGATGGAAAGGAGGGCGGTGGGAATAAGAGTGGCCCACCAGTTAGATCAGACCTTCCCCCTGGGTTTTGGTGGCTCCCAGGATGGGAATTTCACTGCTATTTAGGAATCACAGCTCTTCACTTGGGAGTCATTCCCTTGCCTTTGGAAAATCTCTGATCTGCCTCCCTCTCCTCAGACCAGCACCGGACATCATGTGGTACAAGAAAGGCGGGGAGCTCCCGGTGGGTAAAACCAAGCTGGAGAACTTCAACAAGGCCCTGCGCATCTCCAACGTGTCCGAGGAGGACTCCGGGGAATATTTCTGCCTGGCCTCCAACAAGATGGGCAGCATCCGCCACACGATCTCGGTGAGAGTGAAGGGTACGTCGCCTTTACCTTCCCTCTTTGGGTCCTGGCTGCCTGGAGCCGGGAGGGGACGTTCATGGAATGCTGGGAGGGACAGCGGGGCCTTTCCCTGGGGATGGGTCTGTGTTCTTCAGGGAGTCGTGAAATGGGTTGGGTTGGAAGGTCGTCAGAGATCACTCAGTTCTGGGACACATTCCATGAGCCCATGGTGCTCCAAGCCCCATCCAACCTGGCCTTGGGCACTTCCAGGCATGGAGCAGCCACACATTCTCTGGGAATTCCATCCCAGCGCCTCCCCACCCTCCCAAGGAATGATTCCATCCCAATAGCCCATCTAAATCTTCCCCTTTTTGAATTAAATCTCATTGAAATGGCCCCAAAAGTAGCCGGAGGTGGAATCTCACTGATAGAAATGGTGGTGGGTTTGTGTAGCCAAGGAGAGGAAAGGGGTCTCTCCTCCTTCACCAAATCCCGGGAAACCCATTCCATTTTTCCATCACCTTCCTCCCCCAGGGAGCGTTGGAGGGGGGAATTTGGGGGTGGTGCCGCTGTCCCTGTGTCACTGGGGCGGGGCTGTTTTCCAGCTGCTCCCTACTGGCTGGATGAGCCGGAGAACCTGATCCTGGCCCCCGGCGAGGACGGCAGGCTGGTGTGCCGCGCCAACGGCAACCCCAAACCGTCCATCCAGTGGCTGGTGAATGGAGAGCCCATCGAATGTGAGTGCGGGAGAGACTGGACCTCCTTCTCCAAAATCCCAGCCAAGGATATCCTGGCCGAGCATGAGCCTGAGTGGCTTCCTCCTCCAAAATCCCAGCCAAAATCACGCCAAAGTCCCAGCCAAAATCACACCAAAATCCCAGCCAATGGCCTCATGTCTGAGCATGAGCCAGAGTTGCCTCCTTCTCCAAAATGTCAGCCAAAATCCCACCAAAATCCCAGCCAAGGACCTCATGGCTGAGCACGAGCAGAGTAGCCTCCTTCTCCAAAATCCCAGCCCAAATCCTAGCCCAAGTGCCAGTCAAGGATCTCCTGGCTGAGCATGAGCCAAAACTGCTGATGGTGTCCAACACCCACATAGGCTCCACGTGAATCCCCAGCTTGGCTGGGATGGGCCCAGTTCACCCAGTAGCTCCCAGTTATGGCTGTGGACCCCACACACCATCATCAGGTTTGAACTGGGCTGAGCTGGGAGGACGCTCCATGATATTATGGGGTGGATTTTCATTTGGAATCGAATTGAAGGAGCTGTCCTTGTCTTGAAGCATCTCCGCCCAACCCGAGCCGGGAGGTGGCCGGGGACACCATCGTGTTCCGGGACACGCAGATCGGCAGCAGCGCCGTGTACCAATGCAACGCGTCCAACGAGCACGGCTACCTGCTGGCCAACGCCTTCGTCAGCGTGCTGGGTGAGTCTGTGGGAAGGGGACCACCCAAAACTCATATTTCCATGGAATCTGAGGCTGGAAAGAACCTTAAAGCTCAGCTCAAAGCTCATCTTAAAAGCGTGGGTGTGGCTCTTAGCGCCAAGGTAGTGTTGGGTCATAGGTTGGACTTGATGATCTTAAAGGTCTTTTCCAACCTTTTTCCTGCTGGTTGGTTCTGGGATTCATCTAAAATTCCACCTTCTTGGAAGGGTGGGGCATGGAACCTTCCACTGCCCTGTGCTACCTGGCCTTGGACACTTCCAGGAATCCAGGAGCAGCCATAGCTTCTCTACGAATTCCATCCCAGCCCTTCCCCATCCTCCCAGGCAGGAATTTCTTCCCAATATCCCACCCAAACTCTCCTATTTTGGTTTAAAATCGTTCCCCTTTATCCCATCACCATATTCCCATGTAAAAATCACTCTCCCTGGTTTTTCCAAGCCCCCTTTTCCCTGCCGAAGTTTTCCATGAGTTTTCCCCTTTGCTGCTGTGAGGGAATGCACAAAGGCACCCAGGCTTTGGAGCAGGAATCCATTGCCATGGATTCAAACCAGGCAAAGGCTGGGCAAATCCAGGGATACGAGTCACAAAACGAGGCTGGAAGGAGGGGGAAGGTGAGGTGAGGGAGTGGAGAAGTTCTACTAGGTTTTGAAAGTGCCAGTAGTGAACCAAAAAAACAGGAAAAAGGCTGGAAAAGAGCAGCAGAATCCATTTTTCCTCCTTTTCCATGGCTGGAATTTTGGCATTTGGCAGATGTTCCCCCCCGGATCCTGGGCCCCCGGAACCAGCTGATCAGGGTGATCCAGAACAACAGGACGCGCCTGGATTGTCCCTTTTTTGGATCCCCCATCCCTACCTTGCGCTGGTAAGAGCCAGATCCCATCCCACTCCATCCCAAGGGGTGGGAAAGGGGGGGTTTCCTGCTTTTCCTTCCCTTCCAACAGCACTTTGTGGTGTTGGGAGGTTTAAGAATGGCCAGGGGAACACGCTGGATGGAGGCAACTACAAAGCCCACGAGAATGGGAGCTTAGAGATGTTCATGGCTCGGAAGGAGGACCAGGGAATCTACACCTGCGTGGCCACCAACATCCTGGGGAAAGCTGAGGCCCAGGTCCGCCTGGAGGTCAAAGGTAGGGGCACAGATGTGCCAAAATCTTGGATCTTCTGGAAGTTGCAGCAGAAATAGTTGAGGCTAAAATCTTGAATTTTCTGGAAGTTGCATCAGGAATAACCCTTGAGGTAAAGGGAGGTTGGTTGTGGCTGATCTGATCTTCCAGCAGGTCAGAGCTGGGAGCCTTGAAATGGTGGAGATTCCATTTTAATGTTGGGAAAAGCCAAGGCTGGGGATGGTGGAAGGGCTTGGGTTAGGTGTCAGGCTGGAAGATGCCATCAGCAACACCAACACTGACCCCAAGTGTTCTTTGGGGTTAGATGAGGACAATAAAACATTTTTGGAATTGTTTTTACCCCACTCAGCATATCCGGCTGCTGACTCCAAAAAACGGGATTTTTTTAAAGGCTCAGCACGAATTAATGACTCGTTAAATTAATTTATTTGTTCAAAGCAGGACAAACTGTGCTTGTCCTTTCCAAGTAACTCCGCTCTCCTTTGAGTCCCTGAGGCAAGCCCCACGGTTTTGGGAAGTGACCCTTCGTGAACTCCTGCAGACCCTACCAGGATCATGAGGGGACCTGAGGAGTTTGGGACATAACCCTTGACCCCTTGCAGACCCCACCAAAGTTGTGAGGGAACCTGAGGAGTCTGGGCTGTAACCCTTTGTTTGTGACCCCGTGCAGACCCCCCAAAGGGTTGTGAGGGAACTCGAGGAGTTTGTGGCTTAACCCTTGACCCTGTGCAGACCCCACCAGGATCATGGGAGGACACAAGAAGTTTGGGAGATAGCCCCCGATTTCATGCAGACGCCACAGGGATCCTGAGGAGTTTGGAACGTGACCCTTTGTTTGTGACCCCATACAGACCCCACCAGGATCGTGAGGGGCCCCGAGGACCAGGTAGTCAAGAGGGGCACCATGCCCCGGCTCCACTGCCGCGTCAAGCACGACCCCACGCTGCGGCTCATGGTCACCTGGCTCAAGGACGATGCCCCCCTGTATCTGGGGAACAGGTCTGTGCCCAAAAATTCCGTAGATTTCTCTCCCAGAATTGCTGGATTTTTAGGAGAACATTCCAGGAGTCCCCAGGGATAAATATTGAGTTCCCACCTAAGCAATGTTTGATGTTTTTGACACTTTCAATCTCATTGGCTCCCTCCAGCAATTCCAGCTGATTTATCAGTAAATCCAGACTTTGCTGTGGGTTTTATTACCAGATATTTTAGGATATCTTGATAAAACCTGGGAATTCATAATGAGCTGCTCCAAAATTTATGTTTCTCTGCTGTGGCTGGCACAGCTTTAATTTCCTTTCTGTACCTGACTCCTGTTTCTTGTGAGGCGAGATCTGATCCCAGGGCACGAGCCCAGGGTTGGCTGTTGTCCTAAAAATGTGATTATTCCCCAGATACACCCCAGGGCGCGTGATTCCTTAGGAAATGAGCTTTCCCAGAATAACCCAGCACATCCTTAGCTGATAAAACCTCCAGACCGAAGATGTTCTCCTGCTCTGGTTGGATTTCCAGCTGGATTTTGTCAGGGAACATCCAGCCTTTAACACTGCTTCCTAAATATGTTGGGGCAGAATTTTGGGACGTTGTTTCCTTGAAGGATGAAGAAGGAAGAGGATGGTCTGACGATCTATGGCGTGACTGAGAAGGACCAGGGTGATTACACGTGTGTGGCCAGCACGGAGCTGGACAAGGACTTGGCCAAGGCCTATCTCACCGTGCTGGGTAAAGCCCCCCTGACCCCACAGCTGAGTGCTTGGCTTTGAAGGGGACACCCCAACATCGAGGTCAGGCTGGAAGGGGGGGTCTGGGCTCCAAGATTGTCCCCTGGATGCTCAGGGTGGCGCTGGCAGAGCAGGGGTTCCGTTGTCACAGGATTCGCTGCCTCATCTTGGATGATGGCACTGAAATGCTGCAAAAAACTGGGAATTGAGGGTAAAAAATTAAACAGGAATTGTGGCACACAGCCCAGAATATCCCCGGTGGATGTTGAAGATCCATGAGAAAAGTTCTAAATTTGGGGGTGAATTTAGTGGGGTGTTGGGGTGCTGAGCAAGGGGATTGGGGCTGAGCCAGCTCCCCCTGGCCCTGCATGTCCCCTTTGCAGCACAGGGAGGGACAAACTTCACCCCATTCCCCATTTGTGCCACTGCGAGCTCTGCTTGGCAAACAGGGATTTATCATCCCCTGGCCACCCCAGATTCCTGGGAATGCCACAACCTGCCAGTGCCACTTCCAGCTGGAACAGGAATCCCAAATCCCAAATAATTCCCCTGGGGTTGATTTATTTCCCCTCCTTTCCCCTAATGGCTCATTAACCCCACATCAAACTGATACTTCCCTTTTGCTGTCAACTACGAGTTGGGTAAAGCATGGAAGTCTCTGGGGGAAGGATATTCCTGCTCTGCTTCCCAAACTGGATCAAATCCCGCTGAAATCTGGAACTTTATGTTTGCCAGGTGCTCCTTTGGCCACCCAAGCTTAAACTAACCTGGTTTAACAAGCACTGTCTTACCTTGCAGCCATCCCTGCTAATCGGTTGAAAGATTTACCCAAAGGTAATCGTCACTAATTCCTTGCCTTCCTTTGATTTCCCACCTTGGTTTTGGTTTTCCCTCACCAGTAACTCCAAGAGAAATGGGTGGCAGCTGGAAAAAACTGGGGGATGATGTTTCCGGGTTGAAGGAGCTGAAGCTCCAAGTCCTGCCCAAGTTGTCCTTGAAAGAGCTGATTTTTCCAACTCCTGTCCAAATTGTCCTTGAAAACCCATCCAGATGGGTAGAAAGCTCCTGTTCCACCACATTTTGTGTTCCACAGTGGCAGTTCCTGAGTGCAGGAATCACTTCCCCTGTGCTTGAAAATCCTGATGGGGAAAAAAAACCCCACATGGAATCCCATAATTTTTACCTGGAATTTATTCTTGTTATTGCATGACCTGGCCCTTGTGATCACATTCACACAAAAGGAAAATTTCTATCAAATTTATATTTTCACTAAGGTTTTGTGTCCTTTTTCTGCTGTTCATTTGCATTTCTCTGTGTAAGGTCACAAATCCCCCAAAACCAGCACCTGGTGCTTTCCCTACCGTTTTTATTTTTGGAAAAGGCAGGATTTTCCTGGGAAAGGTGGGATTTTTCCTGGAAAAGGCAAGATTCCTAGGCAAGACGCTGTCAGAAATTATCACACTTTTATTTTAAAAATCACTCTGCTCCCCTAAAGAGCTGCAGGACATGAATTGTCCCTTGGAGCATGTCCTGCCCACAGAGCTGGGAGAGGTAGTGGGAACTGGGACTTGCTCCTGGGACAATTCCAACCTCATTTATCCCATTCCAACAGCACGACCTGACCGGCCCCGGGACTTGGAGCTGACGGATCTGGCTGAGAGGAGCGTGCGGCTGACGTGGATCCCTGGCGACGACAACAACAGCCCCATCACAGGTCTGTCCCCTGTCCCCAAAATCCCTGGGATGGAAAATGCCATCCAAACCCTCCACCCACCCCTTCCTGCTCTTCCCAGACTACATTGTCCAGTTTGAGGAGGACCGCTTCCAGCCGGGAGTGTGGCACGACCACTCCAGGTATCCCGGGAGCGTCAACTCGGCCGTGCTGAACCTGTCCCCATACGTGAATTACCAATTCCGGGTGATCGCCGTCAACGACGTGGGCAGCAGCGTGCCCAGCGAGCCCTCCGAGCGCTACCAGACCAACGGGGCACGTGAGTTTTTCCCAGGTTTTTTTGTCCTTGGAATCCACCACTCTCCATGGAGGCTCTTCCCTCTATCCCAGGAATAGGTTGGCAAGGGCAGCGGGGGAATTTTCTGTATGGAATTCTCAAGCCCGTGGGTGGTGTCCTTCAGGGCAGCGAAACGCAGAGGTTTATGTAAAAGTCAGTAATTTTTTATAGAAGAACTGGTTTTCCTTTTTTCCCTAAAGGGAAGATTCCTAAAGGAATCCTTTCAGTCCTTTCAGACTACGGCAAGCTCGGTAATCTGTAGGAAAATCAGACTCAAGTGCAAATATTGTTAATTATTGGCCACTGTTAAATCTGGTCAATGCTGTGAGGGTGGCAAGGCCTTGGCACAGATTTTCCAGAAAAAAACATGGCTGCATCTGGATCCCTGGAAGTGTCCAAGACCAGGTTTGGTGGGGTTTGGAGCAGCCTGGCATAGTGAAAGGTGGAATTGGGTAATTTTAAGATCCTTTCCCACCCAAATTCCATGACAAAAGAACAAAACAAGCACCAATCCACAACCAAAACTTGAGTTTGTCTGCCCAGTGTTTTGTCGGAGAATATTTGGGAAAATTCCATGCAAGGAATTCACGGGAATCTCATCAGTTCTGCTGCATTTCTTCCTTTACCCATTCCAGGGCGATTGTTGGAGGATCTGCTGGCATCTAGTGTTGGCTCCCAAGAGTGCCCGCCGTGTTTCAGGCTCAAAGTGACAAACTCTGCTCTCTCCACAATGGTTTCCTTTCAAAGATTTAGGACATTTAGGGGACAAAAAAGAGCCTCCTAAATAAATGGCCTGGTTTTCCAGAGGACTGAGAGTCTCGTGTCCCATTAACCTGAATGGGAACTTCTGGAAAAATCAGGCCATTAACTTCTGCCTTGGAAGGACTTTCAGCTTGCAGGGTTTTAACCCCTCTGTGGTTGTTTTTTTGACATCGAAAAATTCATTGTTTTGGTTTTCAATGTGAATTTCAGGTCCTGAAATAAATCCAACAGGAGTTCAAGGGGCAGGGACCCAAAAAAACAACATGGAGATAACGTGGACCGTGAGTTCTGCTTGGATGCTTTTTGGGATGGAGTTGTGGGATGAAGGGGAATGGGTTCAGAATGCCAGAGGGCAGGGAAAAGGAGGATATTGGGAATGAATCCTTCACTGGGAGGATGGAGAGGGGCTGGGATGGAATTTCCAGAAAATCCATGGCTGTCCCATCCCTGGAAGTGTCCCAGGTTGGAGCAACCTGGGATCATGGAAGGGGTAGAGTGGAATGGCATTTCAGGTCCTTCCCAACCCAGACCACTCAAGGACTCCATGAAATAAAAAGCAAAAGTTACAAGAAAGGCTGTTTTTAGTGCTGTGATAAAAAGAATAATTTAAAAAATTGAAAATAAAATAATTCAAAGATGTAGCATCCAAAGATGCGGGATTCCAGACTCGGCTCCCCAAGGATGCCCCAAAGTTGAGTCCTTGAGCAGCTCAGAGGATTTACGGGGCCATTCCTGCTTTGCTCCTTGCACCAGCAGGTGTCAGCCACAAATCAGGGATGAGCCTTTGGGAGGTCTGGAATGGCAGTGGGAAGAGTGGCTGGAATATGGGGATAGAAGTTATGGGATATATATTGTAAAATTCGATATTATGCACATATTTGATTTATTTTATATAATATATAGATAAGCAATCTGGGCTAGTGGAAGCGTCCCTGCTCATGGAAGGGGCTTGGAATTTAAATCCCTTTCAACCCAAATGGTTCCAGGAATAAAATCTTGGATTTTGTGAATAAAATTTCCTGGTCCTACCATGGTTCTGGAGGGCAAGAACTCGTTCTGCCTCTCCTTGGGAACAAAACTTCACCCTCCCTTGGTATTTGCTGATAGAGCCTGGAATACAACCCCACTGCTGAGCAGAGCTTTGGGATCTCCTTGGCGGAAAAATCCAATTTTTATTTTTTTTTTAACTCCTCACTTTCCCTTCTCTGTTTCGCTCCACTGAAGCCTCTGAATGCAACTCAGGCTTACGGGCCCAACCTCAGGTACATCGTGAGGTGGCGGCGGCGGGACCCCCGCGGGAGCTGGTACAACGAGACCGTGCGGAGCGCCCGGCACGTGGTGTGGAACACGCCCATCTTCGTCCCCTACGAGATCAAGGTGCAGGCCGAGAACGACTTCGGCAGAGCCCCGGAGCCCGACACCTACATCGGATACTCCGGGGAGGATTGTGAGTATTCCCGCAGCTGCAGGTGGGATTTTGGGGATGGTCCCATCCAAGGGCAAGGAGTGCTCGAGATGTGGGCGAGGCACTGAGGGATTTGAGACAAAAATCCACTTTTAGTTTGGACAAGGTTTAGAGGACCTGGACAATGAAAGTTGTCCCTCTCTGTGGCCACCTGGGCTATAAAAGGTGTCCCTGTGTGTGGCCACTTGGGCTATGGAAGTTGTCCCTCTCTGTGGCCACCTGGGCTATAAAAGGTGTCCCTGTGGACAAAAATCCACTTTTACTTTGGACAAGGTTTGGAGGACCTGGACAGTGGAAGGTGTCCCTGTCCATGGCCACCTGGGCAATAAAAGGTGTCCCTGTCTGTGGCCACCTGGGCTATGGGAGGTGTCCCTGTCCATGTGCCTGGATGATTGTAAGGTCCCTTCCAACCCAAACCATTCCTGGAGTGTGGAAACCACCAAAATTCCGCTCCAGGTCACCTCTGGCCATGGTGTGGCCACTTGGGCTATGGAAGTTGTCCCTCTCTGTGGCCACCTGGGCTATAAAAGGTGTCCCTGTCCATGGCCATCTGGGCTATGGGAGGTGTCCCTGTCCATGGCCACCTGGGCAATAAAAGGTGTCCCTGTCTGTGGCCACCTGGGCTATGGGAGGTGTCCCTGTCCATGTGCCTGGATGATTGTAAGGTCCCTTCCAACCCAAACCATTCCTGGAGTGTGGAAACCACCAAAATTCCGCTCCAGGTCACCTCTGGCCATGTCCCAACAAGTGGCAGGAATTTTTCCACTCCCACACCTACAGGGCATTGAGATCACCTCAGATTAAAGGTTCTAAAACAGCCCTAAAATTCCTGAATCCATCCTGGCCTGGATTTTTGTGATAAAACTCCGCTAAGCCCCGCTTGGTTTCCTGTTTAGGCTCAGCTTATCTTTCCTTAAACCATGACTACACAGGACAACTCCCAGCTGCTTTAATTCCCTTTCCATCCTTGTCTGGGCTGCTGGGATCACCTCCTGTGGTTGTGATTGTAACTTCCAAGACTCTCGACTTTCATTATCCTGATCCCACTGGGATAATGGGGTTTGTTCCCAGCTGCTGGATTTTTAAAGGAATTGATGTGACTTTGTGGTGTCAGGGAGTCCCTGGCTCTGGGACTTTGGGATTTTTTGGTAAAGAAGGTGGATGAGGCAGGAGATTCCAGGTTTGAAGCCAAGGGGCACAAAGAAGGCACAAAAATTGGGAGTAAAGCTGGAATTCTGGCATAAGCCATCCATGACCCCAGGTTTAAAGCCATGGGGCACAAACAGAGCACGGAAATTGGAAGTAAAGCTGGAATTTCGGGGTTGGATGGCACAGACAACACCTCCTCCAGCAGGGCATCTCCCAGAGGAGACAGGGCAAAGAAAATGTGGCAACAAGTGGGAATCACAGGAATACAAAGAACTGAAAGCAAACTGGACCCAGTTCAGAGGTGTTACTGGGAATGATCCATTGTCTGTTCCCTCCCAGAGAAGTTTTTAATTTCTCTTGGAAATTCCTGCAATAATTTGGAGGTTTGGGAGGATCTGGATGAGCTTCCAAGTGCGTGTGTGTTGTATGGAGGCCAAGTAGGGAGATCAAAGCTTCTCCTGCCTCTGTTTGAGGGTTGGGATGGGTCAAAAATCCCAAAAATCCACAAAAACTGTCCCAAAAATAGTCAAATCCAATCTGTTTCACTCCAGATATCTCCACACAGCAGAAGCTGTAGAAAGGAGGTAAAATCCCAACTGGATCAACAGCAAATTGACCAAATTCAGATAAAAAATATGGAAACGAGGTTTTTCTGGATCTTTGGGGTCCAACTTTGGGACAGGTGAGGAAGGAGAAGGTTGAACATGCTGAGATCCCTCACCTGGAGAGGGAGGTGAGCCAGACCCTTCCCTGCAGCAGGAATTTCCCCTTTTAGCTGGATCAGGAATGTTTTCCTGATGGCTGGAGGAGTGAAATCAGATTTATTTTCTTCCCACGGAAGAGGGTGGAGCCATCACGGAGCTGCTGCTCACGGGATTTGCAATGGGAAAAGCACAGCAGGGGGTGTCCAGCTGTTCATCTGTCTGAGCTCCGGGGTCATTCCAGGTTCCTAATGGCCACTCTGCTTTGTCCCTGCCCACCCAGATCCCAAGGCTGCACCCACGGATGTCAGGATCAGAGTGTTAAACAGCACTGCCATAGCTCTGACCTGGACCCGGGTGCACCTGGACACCATCCAGGGACAGCTCAAGGAGTACCGAGTGAGCAAATCCCAAACTCCCCAGTCCCAAATCCCCGCCCAGCACTGACCACTAACACAGCTAAACCTCCCAAAATTCCCAGCTGGCTCTCGGGGAATGGAGCTGCTGGATGTGGGGATGACAGAAAACTTCCTTTGGTCACCAGGAGCCTTTGGGTTTGGGGCAACAGCAAGGATTCGCTCTTTGGGGTGTCAGGATGGGGTCGGGGATGTCTCCTGTTGCTTCCTCTGGGCTTGGCTGCAGGATTTGGGATGCTCCAAGAAAATTGGGATGGTCCTGGCCACGGAGCAAAGGGGCTCTGAGGGAGTGGCCCCAACCAGGTCAGGTTTTGTGTCATCCCCAAAACACTGACAGCATTTTTTAATGATCAACAACCCTTGCAAAGCCTAAACCTGCGGTCAGGACTAACTGAGCACTAAAGCCAGTGTGGATTTGTGGTTTTCCGGGTCTTTCCAGGTTTGTATTTAATATTTATCAGTCTTTCCAGACTTATATCTAATATTTATATTTGCTGCTGATGCACAGAGGATGGAGCTGTTCAAACCAAGCCAAACCTTGAGCAGGGCCCTTCTCTGGGCCTTAAAACATTCCCAAAACCTCATGTCCAGCAAAGAATCCCAACATTCCCAATCTGATCATCTGCTGGCTCCACTTTTCCTGATTCTGGAGGATTTTCTGAATGGATTCTTGTTTCTACATGAAATAGGATTTACAGTCAGGAGTTCGAATGGGAGATTTCCGAAATTCAAGCTTTTGTTCATGGCTGGGTGTGTCCCACCTTTCCTTGTCCATCACGAGGGGAAAGGGAGAACCACTCGGATTTTAATCCTTGGGAATGAGGAACAGCTTTAGTCTGAGCTCAGTGGTTTTGCTCAATGTTTTGGGAAGCTCTTAACCCCCTGCTCAGCCTTGGGTAACACCTGGATTTTCCTCATGGACCTTCACTAATTCCTCTAAGAACTCCCACATCCTTGACCCACCCTTAAAGACAAAATTCTGCTTTTTAACATCTAAAAACCCCAAAAATCCATTATTAAAGGGGAAAAAGCTTCACCTGGCCTGCCTGTTTCTTGAAGGCCTATTTCTGGAGAGACAGCAGCTTGCTGAAGAACCTGTGGGTCTCCAAAAAACGGCAGTTTGTGAGTTTTCCTGGAGACCGCAACCGGGGCATCGTGTCCCGGCTGTTCCCTTACAGCAACTACAAGCTGGAGATGGTGGTCACCAACGGCCGAGGGGACGGGCCCCGCAGCGAAATGAAGGAATTCCCCACCCCTGAAGGAGGTACGTTCCCACAGGGAATTTTTTTCCTGCTGGGAGAGTTTTGGGCGGAGCAGATCCAGGGAGCTGAGCCGCAGCTGAGGAGGGATTTTAGCTGAGCGTTGCCGCTCAAGAAATAGAAAGACGCGGACACTGGAATCTCAAAGGTAAAAAAGAGGACAGTTTAATTCTGACTCCAACATTTATAGATTTTCAAAAGTGACAGTGGATTGGGGGGTGAAAGTGGTGCCTCTCCAATGACACTGGACAAACCAACAGTCCATCAAATTTCTCCTCCTCCAGAAAAGAATGCAAAATGATTAGTTATTTACAGAAAGTCCGTGAGAAAGTTCGTTACAAGAATGTAAACATCAGGAGGCTTAGAAGAACTCAAAAGAACAGGGCGAAAGAGTGTCACCTGGGCGCTGTCACCATCAGTGACATCGCTGAAGCTACTGCTGGAGTTGGCTCCTGACCCCTTCAGCATTCCCAAAAATCCCTCAGTCAGGGGGTCTGGACACCTCAACCAAGAAGATTTTGGGCTGAACAAGATAAATATTTATAAAACCCTATCCTAGGCACAGCTCAGCGCCCTCGATTTGCTGCCTGAGCTGTAAATGTCCCTGAGCCGCAGTTTGGGGACGTAGCAGTGGTTGGATCCATCCTGGAAAAGGCAAGAAAACCTTCCCAGGACCTTCAGGAATCACTGCCAGGCTTTTAAGACAAGAGCACCTCGTTCTTGTGTCAAGGATGAACTCAAGGGTTTAATTTTGTCGATGGCACAGGAGCTATTTATAGACACGCCGATAATTCCGAGTTGGAGCTGCAATTCCAACGGCTGGAAGTGACTTTTCCTACAGCACAGGAGGGAATTCAGGCACAGAAGGTCACAAAAACACAAGAAAAGATTTGCAAGTCTTGTCTCAAAATATTTTGGGGTCTCCTCTTTTCCTTTCAGTGCTGTCTCTTCCTTCACAATTCCTTGGAAAAATCCCCATTTTTTAAGGACTTTCTGTGGATAATTGAGGTTGTTTCAGAAGGAAGGGTTCAACTCCTGTAGGTTTTGCAGGCAGGGGCATCATGACCCTATTTCTGGGGGATTTGGGGTGGCTTTGGACATTTGAGGTGATGATAAGGACATGAGAGTGTTTATAATTACAGATTTTACTCTTACCAAGGGGATTTTATATTTTCCAACACCACCAAGCCCTTTTATCCACTCAAACTGACATTGAGGAGGCTGAAGGATATCCTGAACAACTAAAAATAAATCCCTGAGCTCTCCCACCTCTCTTCCCCCAATTAAGACACGCAATTAGGAGGAAATCAGGAGAATAATTTAACTCCAGGCTGGATAATTCTTTCCTTCCTTCAGCAGTTAAAGCAGCGATAATCCCAAGCATTCCTTAGGGTGAGGAGCAGTGGGAAGCAGCTGCCTGGGGCAGATCTCTGGAATTCCATTTCCCACCGATTTTTTGGGATAAGAGAAGCCACTTTTGGGGGTTCTAAGAGAGGAATCTGTGGGATGAAAATATTGGGATGGGAGTGGGATGTAAAGAAGGTTGGGAAATTTGGTTCCAGCAGGCAGAAACGGGGCTGGAGTTAAGAGAAATTTTTGGGATTCTTATTGTTCTTCTAAGAAAGAAATCTGTGGGATGAAAACTTTGGGATGGGTGGGGGGTGTAAGGAAGGTCAGGAAATTTGGGACCAAGAGAAGTGGAGCTGGAGTTAGAGAAGTTTTTGGGATACTTCTTGTGCTTCTGAGAGAAATCTTTGGGACGGGTGGGGGGTGTAAGGAAGGTCAGGAAATTTGGGACCAAGAGAAGTGGAGCTGGAGTTAGAGAAGTTTTTGGGATACTTCTTGTGCTTCTGAGAGAAATCTTTGGGACGGGTGGGGGGTGTAAGGAAGGTCAGGAAATTTGGGTCGAAGAGGAGAAGTAGGGCTGGAGTTCAGAGAAGTTATTGGGATACATTTTGTGCTTCTAAGGGAGAAATTTTTGGGATGAACACCTTTGGATGGGAGGGGGGTGTAAAGAAGGTCGGGAAGTTTGGGTTCAACAGGAGTAGCTGGACTGGAGCTGCATTCCAGCTCTGTGGCCTCAGTGGAGGATCCCACAGGATTTTTTGGCTGAAAACCCCACCTGGCTCCTGGTTTTTGGGATAAATCCTTGTGCTATCCATTCGGGGTGAGTGGCCAGGGAGTGGCCAGGCCCGTGGCGGGTGCAGCAGCGCCAGGTTCGTTACCCTGTGTGTTTTTTCTCCTCTCTCCCCTCTCCTCCTCACTCCCCTCCAAGTGCCCAGCTCCCCCAGGTACCTGCGGATCCGACAGCCCAACCTGGAAATCATCAACCTGGAGTGGGATCACCCCGAACATCCCAACGGGATCATCACGGGATACACCCTCCAATACCAGCCCTGTACGTCACACATCTTCTTCCTGCTGATAAATCAGGAAATCCTTCCCTTCCTGCTTTTTGCCAGGGCAGAGAGATCCATGAGGAACTGGAGACTTCCATGGTGGGACAGACTGGTGTTGGGAGGGGTCCTGGCCATCTGTAGGGGGGGTGGTGGGTGCTCAGCACCTCCCGAGACTAAATTTTTGAAGGAAATTTGATTTTATCTCAGATTTAGAAAGATTTTAGGTGCAGCCTGAGGCATTTTTGTGCTCACACAACACAAATTGGTTGAGGTGATACCCAGAGCCTGAATGACCCTGAGCCTTCTCTGCCCACCTGAATGTCACCCCCAGCAGGTCCCCAAGTGCCTCAGACTGGGACATTTAACAGCTCTGAGCCCCACAGTGACCCCACAGAACCTCTCTGAGGTGAGGGGACAAGCTGGAGACATCTCCACTTAATCAAGGAGGGGTGGGTGCTCAGCAGCTCCCCAGACTCAGTTTTTGAGGGAAAATCAGCTGGATCTTAGATTTAGGAGGATTTTAGGAGCAGCCAGAGTTGTTTTGGTGCTCATCCAAACACAAGATGTAGGAAGTGATACCCCAGAGCCTGGGGCAGCAGAGAGCACCGGAAGGCCCCCCCAGCAAGTCCCCAAGCCAGGGTGTCACCAAGTGTCCCAACCTGGCCACTGAGCCCCTCAGTGACCCCACGGTGACCTCACAGACCCTCTGAGGGGTCAGGGACAAACTGGACACCCCAAAATTCCTGGCCCAGGCTGAGCCCGGCCTGCCCTGCCTTCCCTCTGCAGTTAACGGGTCCCGGATGGGTAGGACGGTGGTGGAGAACCTGTCCCCCAACCAGACGAGGTTCACCCTGCAGAGGTCAGACCCCATCTCCCGCTACCGCTTCAAGCTCCGCGCCCGCACCCAGGTGGGAGAGGGAGAGACCCTGACGGAGGACTCGCCGGCACTGCTGGATGAAGGTAAGGGCAGTACCCAGCTCGGCCGAGGGGACAGGATGTGTCAAACCCAAAAATGACATCGTGACAGGATGTGTCAAACCCAAAAAATGGCACCATGACAGGATGTGTCAAACCCAAAAAGTGGCACCGTGGCAGGATGTGGCAATCCCAAAAATGTTATTGTGCCAGTCCATGGAACAGCCCAAAAATGGTGTTGTGGCAGGATGTGGCAACCCCAAAATGGCATAAAGACAGGCCTTGAGAAATTGCAAAAATATCCTTGTGACAGGCCATGGAATAGCCAAAAAATGGCATTGTGGGATGTGACAAACACCAAAAATGTTGTCATGACAGGACATGGAATAGCCAAAAAATGGCACCGTGACAGGACATGACAACCCCAAAATGGCATGTAGACAGGCCTTGACAAATCTCAAAAATATCGTCCTGTTGGGCCGTGGAACAGCCAAAAAATGGCATTGTGACAGGATGTGGCAAACCCCAAAAAATGACATTGTGACAGGCCGTGGTGAAGGAAAAATGGCATAGTGACAGGCCGTGGTGAACCAAAAATGGCATCACAATGGGCCATGGAACAGCCCAAAAATGGAATCAGAGAATCCTAAAAACCAGGAGTGCAGGACACTGATGGGCCACCATGGTTTTCTTGCAGAGGTGGAGGTGGCCAAATGCTGCAGTAAAAACCCAGCTGAGGTGACCTGGGGACAGTCCCAAGGAACCTCCTGGCTGTCCCCAAGGGAGGGAAGTTCCTGTGTGCCCTGGAGCAGGAGGATATTTGTAGAATTTATGTTTTTTACCAAAAAAGGACAGGGCAAGATGGTATTCAGGAAGGAATTCCTCACTCGGAGGGTTTAGAACTGCTGGCATGGAGAGGTTGTGGATGCTCCTGCATCCCTGGAAGTGTCCCAGGTCAGCTTGGAGCCACCTGGGATGGTGGAAGTGTCCCTGGGTGGGGCTGGATGAGATTTGAGGTCCTTTCCAACCCCAACCAATCCATGATTTTGGGATCTCGCTCTCCTTGTGCTGAGGGTGAAGCTCTGATTTGCCCCTCTGTGTTTCTGTGTCAGCTCAACAGGGGCAGCTTTGGGGGATTTTTGAGTGCAGGGGCCTCTGTGCCACCTCCCTGTCACCCCACAGGTGTCACCTGACCCTGAAAGCCTCCAGAGCCCCACTCTCAGCCCCATAATCAGATAAAATTCCCCTTGTGGAACATCCATCAGATTTAAGTGGAAGTTCTGGAGCCCTGAGGGAACCAAGGGTGCTCTCTCCCCTCTTTAGGCTCGGCTGACAGAGCTGGGATTGGGTTAGAGCTGGGATTTAATGGGGTTTTCTCTCCTTCCCTCCATCCCCCATCCCAGCTAATGGCTCTGAGTGGGGAAAGCGATTCCTGCCCAGATCCAGTGGGAATAAAACCATTCCCGACCCCCCTGGGGTGGGATCCGACAAAATTTATTGGCTGGGGTGGGGGAGAAAACAGCCAAGGAAAACACGAGAGAGGCCTGGAATTGCTCTAGAAGGAATTGTGAAAGCTCAGGGGTTGGATTGAAGCTGAAAATTGAATATTTTTAGCTAGTTCACACCCGAATTTTGGACACTGATAATAGCGAGATAACAGTCGTGGTGTATAAATTTTAATTGACTTGGATCAATTTTATGTATTGGAAATATCAGGTGGTGCCCAAACCTGCTGGACAAGATAAGGAACCCCCTCTGTGGGGTTTGGGGTGACAATGTGGCACCTGGTGCTGCTAGAAAAACAACGTTTGGCTGTCAAAGCACACAAAATTATAAAATTTGAGTAATTTACTCCTGTATTTGCCCTCCAAACATGAGGTACAGCACGAAATAGGTGAGTTTTGCTCAGTTTGATGGGACTTCCTGCCAAGCTGAGGGAGAGACGAGGCTGGAATTTAAGAAAATAAGCAGATTAAGGAAATTAAACTCATTTGTGTGCTCCAAGGAGGTTTCCTGCTCACCAGACTCCTCCAGATGCAGAGTTTAAATCAGGTGGGACAAGCAAGGAAAAACCGAGGGGAAATTCAAAATTCAGTGTCAAAACAAAACGTGGTTTTTGTTGGGATTAGACCTAAACACCAGTTTAAGTACTCAGCTTAAAAACCATTGTCACATCGATGCCACTGCTGTCACCTCAGTGCCACCGCTGCCCCTTCTTGGGTGGTTAACCTGGATGCTGGTGTGGTTTATCCCAGATGCCCTGGTGTGGTTTATCCCTGATTCCTGGTTTATCCCTGATCCCTGGCATGGTTTATCCCCTGATTCCTGGTTTGTCCCAGATTCCCTGGTGTGGTTTACCCCAGATTTCTGGTTTATCCCAAATTCCCTGGCTTGGTTTATCCCTGATTCCTTGCTGTGGTTTATCCCTGATTCCTGGTTTATCCCTGATTCCTGGATTCCAGGAGCTATCCCAGGTTGGATTTAATCCCATTTTCCCCCTCTCTCTCTGCTCTCCGATGACTCCGAGTGTCCTGGCGGCGCGTTGGGGTTGTTTGATAAACTCCTGTGTTTTTCTCTTCCCTCTTTCTCTCCGTTTTCCCGTTTTTCCCCCTCTCTCTCTCTATCCCTGGCGCTGCCTCCGAAGCCACGCCAAGCCCAGGTACCGTACCCGGAGGTAACCGGCATGGGGGCAACGGAGCTTGCCAATTAAGCTGCCAATTAAGCCGAGAAGTTCATTAAAACCCTTCCAATGGCCACGCCAATTGGGCATTTCAATCCTTCCAGGCACAAAGGGGACCAGGGCGGCTCCACAGCGGGGCAGGCAAAGATTAAAAGGTCTCTAAGCCAGGCTTAAAAGCCGCTCAAAAATGTCGTGAAAACCAAAGCCCGGTGGCCGTGGGCTGGGCGAGCCCAAAGGAGAGTCGAGTTCCCATTAAAATGGGTTTTTTCCTTTTAAAGTGGGGGTTTTTCTCCTATTAAAGAGGGATTTTTTTCCCTATTAAAGAGGGTTTTTCCCCTGATAAACAAGTGTGGGGTTTTTTTTTCCTATTACAAGGCATTTTTCAATATTAAAGATGTTTTTTCCTTGTTAAAGAGGGGGTTTTTAATATTTCAATGTGCTTTCTTTCCCTATTTTAGATGGGTTTTTTTTCCCCTAACATAGACAGTTTTTTCGCCATTAATGAGGGTCTCCCCTCTATTTTAGAGGGGGTGTTTTCCCATATTAAATAGGGGCATTTTTGCCTATTAAAGGGTTTTTTTCCTTATTAAAGAGGGGTTTTTTCCCTATTAAACATTTTTTCTACATATTAAGCAGGTTTTTTCCCCTCTTAATGAGGGTTTTCCCCCCCTATTTTAGAGGGGGCTTCCCCCCTATTTTAGAGGGGATCTTTCCCCATATGATAAAAGTTTTTTTCTTCCCTATCAAAGACATTTTTTCTTCATTAAAGAAGGCAGGTTTCCCCCCGATTAAAGAGGAGTTTTCCCCTTATTAAAGAAGATTTCCCCCCCTATTTTAGAGGGTTTTTTCCCATATGAAAGAGAATTTTCCCCCTATTAAAGAGGGGGTTTCTTCCTACTAAAGAGGTATTTTTCCTTTTTACAAAAGGGTGGTTTTTTTCCCTATTAAAGAGGGGGTTTCCCTATTAAAGATTTTTTTTTTCATTGTTAAACAACTTTTCCCCATCTCACAGGGGATTTTAACCCCAACTCTACACAAACCCCTCTCCCTTTTTAACCGTCACCATCCCCAACCCACAAAACCCAGAACATTTCTGGCTCCATGGGGGCCCTTCCAGCACCTGTGGGATTGCAGCTGGAGATTTGGGATTTTATTTGTTTTTTTAGAGATTCCCTGTAGCTCTCCCAGGGCTTTGATCCAGGAGATTCTTCCCATTCCCGGTGTCCATTGGAAGGGTTGAGCGGGAATTTGAGCTGTGCATGTTCTGCATGGAGCCTTCTGCTGGCTTTGCCCTCCTCGCTATTCCCAAAACGTGGGAGCAGGGAAAGACCTTTTCCAGCACCAGGGACAGCTCCTCCTCCTCCTCCCGCTTCCATGGAAAACCCGATCCCGGATATCCCAGTGTCGCCCTGCATCGCCTCAACACCATTCCAACTCTCCCAAACTTGGAAAATTCTGATTTTTCCACACCCAACACGCATTTCTCACATTCCAAACATCGGGAGAGCCTTTTCCCAGCTCGGAAAAGCGGGAATTGCCAACCAAGGGGTGCAGCCAGCCCCGAACTCATCCCAAAAAAAAGCTTTTTTTGGGAGCAGCAGCAGCTCCCAGTCTCTCAGCAGGTCCTGCTTTGCCTCTGCAAATTCCAAGCAGGAACAGCTTCCCAGGGAAGGTTTTCCCGAGGGATCCAAGTGCAGGATTCACTTTCCTGCCTCGTGGATGTTCCTTTTCCTTGGATTTTGCTGCCGCGATGTCTCTTCCCGATATTATTTTGCTTTTCCCCCCCCCATTCCTGAACAGATGCCAGTTTTTCTCCTTCCTGTCTTTTACTCTTCCCCCCAAAAAAAGAGGAATGACAGATTGGTCAGGTTTAGGTGGTGAGGACCTGAACATGCACTTAAAAATCCTAGAAATACACATAAAAATCCTGAAAATTAACATAAAAAATCCTGGAAATGAGCTAAAATCCCTAGAAATGGACATAAAAACCTCAGGATCAGGACCACCCTCTCCTCCAGCTCCTTCTCCATCCAGGGTTTGGCTCAGCCACAAAATCCAGATTTTCTTTGTGGATCAGGATCACCTGGAGTCCTTTTCTGCTTCCAGAGGGTCCTGCTGAACTCTGGAATCACGGCCTGGTCTCTTCATCCTCCCAGCACTGAATCATTCTTGGCTTCATTTCTTGCCCCACTGGAATTATTTGTGGTTTCGGGGATAATCCCCCAATTATCCAGAGCCCATCCCTCCATTTTCCCTTTCCCAAAAGGAGAAATGACACTTTGGAGATTTGGGAACTGGAACTGGAGTTCAGGAATTGCTGCCTCATCTTCCTCCCCATTCCAGGCTCCTGGAGGGGACTCAGGGC